TGCTGTGAATCAGAAGTTACTCCACTGAAATGAATGAAAAATTGATAAAGAGCAGAAACAGATTCATACTTAAACTGCCTTAATTTGCACTACTGATTTTCCTTAATTTATTTGCCTTCAATCTGTGCTGTGCATTTTCCAAGGTCCCTCAACCTGATCAAAACTGTAGCATCTTGTGGTGACCTTCAACTTATATCAGCTGCAAAAATCTGATTTCTGGATGAAAATAATGATTCTAGCTCCACCCATCTTAAAGAAGCTTGGTATTAAAGTCTAGAAATAAGCTTTAGGAAAGAGAAATTAAGACAATTTATGGTAGAAAGTTAGTCTCCAGCCATGAAAAAACACACATGTCCAGCCTTACATTTGTGATACATTTCAGTGACACACCTCATGTCAGTTTCAATGTGAGATAAAGTCTAATCAACCATACTTAAAAGTTGAAAAAGATCATTGAAAATTTCAGCTGGGTATGGCCTTAAGGTTTCTCCACTGAACTTTGGCTCTGAATGTTTCTAAAGGCATAAAGAGGAAGGGAATACAAAAGATTATTGCAGTACTAAATGAAATGCTTTTCACAGTAGCTCTGTATTATTATCATAATTTGTTTTAGGATGAACAGTTAAAATATGCATCAAATGATGGAAAAACTTTGTATGTCTCGGTGCTGTTTTACAACCTTTATGTAATTATATAATTTAACTTTCAAGACAATGGAATGGAAACAGTCTGTTATTCCCTAAATGGAAAACAGATGTTGAGATCTTTACTGTAACTCTAGCCAGTAATCTTGAATATTTATTGATTTTGTCTGTGTAGTACCTGTTTTGATAGGCTTGTAAAGAAAAAATCCAGACAAATTTGCTATATATAACAATATTCTTTACACAGCACATTTTTGCTAAGGGAATATGCATGATTAATGATGAGGACCTGCCAGAGTAGACTTCTAAGAAGAACATCTTTATTATTTATAAAAGAATAAAAATTTTCATTTCATTTTAGATACTCACTGTTATATAGGTTTGAGCCAGAATCTGAATTGTTTCGAAATACTCTTATTTGATAAAAGAAATGCTTTGAATTCTGAATATCTGTAAGTGCAAATCCTTTGCATGCTATGGGCAGCTTGTGTCCTACAAGCATCTATATGGATTTGTTACAAGTAAGTTGAATAACTGGAAGAAATACCTGTGGTTTTCATCCAGACATGATTGATTTTATCCCTAATATAACCTGATGTAACATCACTCAGACATTTAAAGTAGAATAAAATTGTAAATCAGAAGAAAATGGGAAAAAGCACTACAAAATGCCTGAGATTTTCACAAATTAAATGCTTCCTACACACTGGAAGAATGGGCTTCAGCCACATTTGTACTTTAGTCTTTGTTACCAGAAACTCTGTTCCTGTCCTCTTTCCCTGTGAAATCTAGGCCACATCAAAATGAGAATAAGTGAGCACTGAGGATAGAGCAGTGACTGAGGAGCGCACGTTGATCACCCTCTAGGTATTTTGCAACAGACAAGGTGACATGTCTCAGATCTGTGGCCTTTTCTGTGATGTTTGTTAGGAATTTGGTGAAATAGCCAATGGCAGTCACCACATAGCTCTGGGATGATAAGCCCCCCACAAGCAGCTCCTTGGCTCTGGCTGGACCAGGATTAGTTTGACAGCTAAACATAAAGCTTGTCCTTTGTGAAGAAGTGCTGTAATCAGTCTCAAGTCCTGATGAGGAATAGTAGGATGCATCCCTTCTACTGTCTCAGTGGCCTTCCCGAAGTTGGAATAAAGGCAAATCTTCAGTGAATTCCTGTGGTAGCTGTGGGTCAGCTGTGAACAAAGTAATGTGACCTTTTGGCCCTGGAGCTACACATCTGGAAGGGTATTATCTTGAATCTTAATTCACAGATCCTATGGAGATGCATCTGTTGAGTACTAGCATCTTTTAGATGCAGAGCTCTAGCTGCTTGTAAGCTAGGTTCACTAAGTCCTCTCAGACTCAATAGCAGTAGAGAAGTAAAGCCTAACCACTAGGAGTCTTTGCAGTTCTGATTTTGTGATGTTTGGTTATTACTGGTTTATATAAAGAGAGTATGAAGACTTTTTTTTTCTTTTCCTCCAGAACTGTTTTATTTAAATATGTTCTTACATTTAACAGGAAGCTTTTAAAAACAGAATTACTATTAATATGCAGTCAACTTGGTGAAGAGTCTGAGCAGAACATGCAGGCAACAGCTGCAATGTGTTATTCCCCAAATAAGGGGATGCACATGAGTACAGCTGAGTAAGCAAGTCATACAACATGAATTACTTGAGAATTTTAACCTATTTACAAATTCCCTACAATCAATATTTAGTTTTCAGAAGTAGACTATCAATATTAACACTTCTAAAAAGCACCACTCCATCACAAAAAAAATAGTATATTTGCTAGTCGCAGTCCAGTGTTTTACTGTGGATGGTAATACAGCCGTGGTTTCTGTTCTCCTGGTAGATAAACGCACAAGCAATGGCTTTAACAAACGCTTGATGATATGAGCTTCACATTTATTTTCATAAATACAATTCTGAAATTTGATTTCCTCAAATAACTGTGCCATTAAAAATCAGTGTGAGTATGAGCAGTTTTATAGGTACGTGCTGTAGAGTTTCTGTATTGGAAGAGATGCACAGGAGGAAAAAAAAAGAAAAGTATGCTGATTTAAGAGACTGTGATTCTGTGAAATGAGTATGAGCACCAGGGGGTGTAAACACAGAGCCTGATAAGAGATCACATTATTATTTGAGCAAACATTCCTGAAATACTGTGGTATCTTCCCAGTTCTACTTGTGCAGAAATAATTCATTTCAGTGATTTGCAGACTCTCATGTACAGCATATTCTTTTTCGTTGCTTAAAGAAGTGGAACTTCCTCAGGAAGAAAGTAAATAGATATTTCAATGTTTATAGATGTAATACTCTTGTCATTCACATTGAATGAAAATTGCTGGAAACATTTTTCTCAGAAATTTTTTAAATAAAAAATAGACATTATACTGATAGTGGCATGGTATCTGATGTGCAACAATAAACTCTGCTAAAAAAATGTACCAATGAATGAAAGTGATTTTTTTGTTCATAAAAGTTGTCCTTTTCCAGGTTTGTTAGCAGCTACTACTGAGTTATAACACAATCCGCGAGCATGGCAGCACCACGAAATGTTTTCACAGATGGAAAATATTGCTTACTCTCTATGTAAGCCACTTTATGCAGCTGCTTTTGCTTCCTGCTCAGTTTTTACTTCTTATTCCAGAAATCATTAATGGGCTATAGAAACATTTCCAGAACTTGCAGTTTTTAAGAGAACAAGCAGACTTTATTTGAACTGTTTGCCTGTGGGATTCAATAGTTGTGCCTACACAGACATGAGAAGACATTTCTAGGAGGAACTTCTAAAAGACAGTGCTAGCATCCAAAGGAAAATTCACTCTTATCAACAAATTCAGAAAAGAGTAGAAAACTGTAGTTTCTAGCTGACTAAAAGCTGATTAATATCTTCATATAGGTGTAGAAAATAGCATGTTAACAAAATATTCTTTCATTACAGAGAAATGATGTAATATTCAGAAGTGTAAACTTCCACTACTCATCTCTATAATATCAAAGTGTAACAGAACAGTAATAACAGAAAGATACTAAGCCAAGATTCTTGCTGTGCCCGACTGACCTCTGTATCCAGTTTTTCTGCTTTCGTTTAATGTTCCTTTTCAGTTCTACCAGTTCCAGATCTCTTAGAGCTCAAAGGCCAAAAATGTACTTTTTTTTTGTCTATGAGGATCAGAAGGATGAAGAAGGCACAATGGTCAGCACCAAGGGATAAAACACAGGAACAGGAAGGCAATTAACAGGTGAAACCAAGGCTTGGGGAAACCTGAATGAAGGAGGAATTCAGACAAACTAAGGGAGAATGATTAGAGTATTGTGAGATTGATTACTGACCAGCCTGTTTTCTGTTAGTTTATCTCTTTCATTATTATTATTTTTTTCAATACAGTATTTTCTTTCATCACTTCCCATTTTCTGTTCTGATCTCTTTGCCTTGAGAAATTCAGCTGGAAAATGAGGCTCTTGTACTTTCAATGGTCAGATATCTGTCTGCCCAGGAGAGCTGTCAGTAGCACAGGGACACTACCGAAGAATATGAGTATTCCCCAGCAGATGTGGCCTACTTCAACCACGATAGAAGAGCTTGTTCAGAATTACTAGTTAAAATCCTGAAACCCATGTTATTCAAGAGATCAGAGAAATAGGCTCTTTTGCCCCTTAGTTCTTCTGTCTCCTCAGTTATCCAGAATGCCTCTCCTAATAAGATTCCCAGTAAAACTGGGATCTGATTTACTCGTCAAAAGAAAGTCAAGTTATTTACTTATTTACATAAGATACATATATCTCAACGATGTACTCAGACGCTATAAAAGCCGTACGTGATGTGAAGGACAGACTGCCGCCCCCCTGCGGCATCCCTCTCGTGCCTCAGCGCCGCACACGCCCAGCAGACGGGCAGAGCGCCGAGCAGCGCCGCGGGCCGACGGCGGCGCCACCGCCCCCTCCTCGCCCCGCCCCCTGGGAGGGGCACGCGCCTCTCCCGCCCTTGCCGCCTGCTGGCGGAGTGGTTCCGGTTCCGTGAGCGACCGTTGGCGTGCGCACGTGGCGGCAGCTGCTGGGGGTGCTTTTGGCGGGCGCGCGTGCGGCGGCCGTTAAGTGGGGGCGGAAGGCGGGATGAGGGGTTTCTGGTCGGGCGCTGGTGCAGCCGTTGGGCTCCGCAGCCCTTCTCTTAAGAAATGGCCGGCCGGCCCCGGCGGAACCAAGGCAGGCGGGCAGAGAGATGCAGAGCAACTGCAGGTAAGGGGAAAGTGAGGGCTGAGCGGCGGTGGGGCGAGGTATGATGGGGAGCGGGGGGAACGAACGGCTGGCGGTTGGCAGGATGGCGGCCGCCGTGTGGGGTGCGGGAGGGCCGCTCCATGACTCCATGGGGGCTGCCGCTCGTGGCTGTCCCCCTTCCTAGGCATGGAAGAGCAGCTTCTTGCTAATTGGCAAAACTTCTACCGTCCTGTTGGTAGTAGTCGTTGACTGTGGCAAGTAACAAGCCGAGTCGGCAGGGGTTTGTGGCGCAGGGGGTTGGCGGCTTCTTGTGATGCTGTTGTTTCTTGTTTTTCCTTTGTAACTTGTCGAAGCTCCGTTTTTTAAGCAAGTCTTCTCCCCTTCCCCCCCCTCCCCCCTTTTTTTTTTCTTTTTCCTTAAACTGTCTTGGAATGCAGAAGCCGGAAGTGTGGAGGCGGCATAGAAGTTTCTTTCCTCAAAGACACCGCGTGACTGGGTATGTGTTGCCTTATGAGCTCCTAATAGAGAAGTTGTGAGCGGGAATAATAGCGATTTACTAGTTACGTTTAGCGACTAAGCTGCTGAGACCCGTCACATCACCACTGAAATCAAGATATGAGCTTGATTTTTGTTTATTGAAAGTCTACTTGGTTGTGTGTAATTATCTTTTACTGACAAAAAGTTGTAACTAAGAGGAAAAGTCTATTATTTGGAAGAAATGGGCTTAGGTTTGGATGTGTTCAGTCTATTCTGAAGACTGGGCTGTCGTAAAGATGTGTATTGCCAGTACTCTTGCCTACTACACTGGAGGCATCTGGATTCACAGATGTCCACAAGCTGTGTGTGCAAGGAGCAAACCTGTCAGTAAGCATGTTGCTGAGTTAGCAGAGTGAGTACAGATGGTGATCTGAAGCAGGGGAGATGGCTTCCAGCTGCTTTGTTTCAGAGCATTGTACAGCTTCCAGGAAGGCACCGTGCTGTCCAGTGATGTCTGCTGTCTTGTATGTGTAGCAATATTAAACTGCGTCAAACTTCTCTTTACAGGGGAAAAGCATTCTTGAGTTGTGATGGCAGAAGAAGATGGTTCTTAATTCAACCTGTAAATTTCTGGAGTAACTGTGAATAGTAATTATATTGTTTACTGACTTTAAGGGTTGATAGGCAATCTTACAGGATTAGCAGTCTTTGTAAGTAATGGTATTCCTGTCCTTCAAACAGGGAAGCAAGCACTACTTTTCAGCTGGGTCTTAATTTCAATTTAGACTTAAATGAACTCTTCTAATTAAGTTCATACCTTGAGCCTAGATGCTCTGCAGTCCCTCGTCTTTACAAAGCGCACAGAGGGCCTGGGATGTAGTGTACTGTGTTTCAAATTAGCGTGGAATTGGTCTGCACAAAAGAGAAGGTAGTGAGGAGGATGTTGGCAAATTTATGCTGCCTTCCAGGATCCTTAGCTGCTCTCATTTCAAGGCTTTCACCAAGTTTTATGTTATTACAATGTCAGTAGTTAGTGACTGTGCTATACTGTAGCTACGCAGCTGACCATGCTTCAGTAGTCCTAAATCTGGAGAAGTGTTGTGTTTTCACTGGTGGCTCTGCTGCTGCTAAAGCACCTTAGAAGGGATGTTACAAGGAGTGTACTGTACTGTGGAAGATGAAGGTAAGTTTGTGAAGTCTAAAAGGTGTATGTGACTGTCTGCAGTGAAAACTTCAATACATGCTAATGTAAAGGATTCAAATGTACTAACGAGTCAATAAAGAGATATGGACTTAACACTGCAAGTGTCGCTTCTTCCTTACAAGTGTACTGATAACCAAGACCAGACCTGCATGTAAACTTCGGAGTTACTGAGGAGAGGACAAATGTGTTTGCTGTGTGCATTCACCTTTTGGTATCTGGGCCTTGTACTTTCAACTAAATAGTTCTGGGCCAAAGAAGGAACTGATTGATGCTGTCTGGAACCCATTCTAGAAGGCACATAGTTTTAGAGGGAAGAATTAAACATTTTCTGCAGGGAAGAAATAGAGATTTTTTTGAATGTGGCTGCTTTCTCTATTTAATTTGTTGGATATTTTCACTTAATGCATATTTGTAAAAAGCTCAAGAATGGGACAAATTAAATGTTTCCTTCTGAAATGTATAATCAAACTTAGATAGTACTGGCTCTTGCTTAGCATAACTTTGTGTGGGATATCTTTGTTAAGTAGAAAATTCATTGCAAACTGAGAAGCTTACCCACAACTGATGTTCCTGCCACATCCACTTAGACATGTATAAAAGCTCCAGTCAGCGTGGCGGTTTTTATTGTTCACATTTACATCATCAGGCTCACTGAACAAGAATTAGAATGGTACAACATAAAGACAATTTCATTTTCTTTTAGGAACTAGCAAAGGCATGCTGTCTGCATGGGAACTAGTGCATCATTTCAACTTCTAAGTATTAAAGCATCCTAAGAGAGCAAAACTAATGATCTACCTTACTAAATCTAAATGTTACTGCATTTAGGGTACAGACTTGATCTTTTTCTCTAAGTATTGCACTTTGTGGTGCAACTCTCAAAAGAATGGTTTATGCTGTATATCACACATACTGCACTATGTTGTCTACTTCACAAGTCTTAGAATCAAGGTCTTATTTACCAAAATTTTGTATGAGTAGGTACCTTCTGATGGGCTTACTTTCTCTGTAATTAAAAGGGCTACATATATGTAAAAATGTAAATAGCTTTACAGTTTGCTAGGAGAGTATTTCACATAGGTCTAACAGTAGGTGAGCGTAGTACTATATGTTTTTAAATAATTTGCTTCTAGTGCAGTTTTACAGAAAACTAAAATACATAAAAGCACCTCATGTGTACTAGTTTAGCACCAGTTCCAACAAGGTATTTAAGCTAGTTCTGGCCCTTAATAGGGCCAGTAAGTTTGAGGAGAGAAATTGAGGGCCAATTTTACAATCACTTGCAACATTATTGTAACTTGCACAAACGAGTTGGTTTGGATATTAAAACACCAGAGACACGTAGAAGTATACGGGGAGTGCATGAATGCCCACTTACAAATAAATATGAGTGTCCCACTTTGTTCACAGAAGGCCACGCAATACTGTTACAGCTTGAGTGTCTGAGGAAGGGAAACAGGAAAACTAAGTGGTAGTCACAGTTGGTACACACAGCTGCCATACGTATCTCACTGGGGTGTTTCATGGCCCACAGAGCTGTTCTTTCATCTTTTTAAGAAGCATCATTGTTAAAAATGTACTACACTGGGTATGCTTGCAGGCAGTCCAGCTGGCCGTAAGGAGAGCTCACTGACAGTACTGAACTTTATTGTTTCACTGTTGATTGTAGCTAGTCTGCTGTTCTAAAGATTACTGTCAATTTGGGTTGCACTGAAATGGTGATTCCTTCCAGGGTTCTGTATGATGATTAGGAAGAATTGCTTCATCAGGAGGAAGTAGAGCACTGGGATGAGCTGCCAAGGAAAGCGAGGGAGGTATGGCACCAAGGGCCATGGTTTAAACAATGGGACTCAGTAGGTCACAGTAATGGTTGGACTTGATTTCAGTGTTCTTTTTCAAACTAAATGACTGTGATTCTAAAGTGAGGGAAGCATCCATTTCTAGAAAGGTAAAAGTTGTTTTCTATTTGTGTTGATATGGAGTACCTTGGTGCTTTTTTTTATAACAAACCATTGTGGTTTTCATAACATGGGCAAGAGTGTTTTTAAAAGCAGTTAAAGGGAATGGATATTGCTAAATGATATTTAGAACATAAAAGGGCACTACGGTCCGTATGACTTACAACTTGATGTGGTGTCATAAATTACTATAGCAAAATTGAACAGTTGCTGGATAAAAAAACTTTTAGTTATTGGTTAAAAATAATTTTTTTACTTTTCCAGTGAGAATGATCTGAAACAGCACTGCCCCTAAGCGTGGTTGTCTAAGTATTTAGAAAATAATCCTTTAAGACTTTATACATCTTTTCAGACAGGCACTGCTTCAATATTTCCAGCGTTTATCTAACTCATACAGCTGCGTAGAATGTCTGCAGGGAAATTAATTACCTTCCAGCATGCTGTCTACTTTACTTTGGAATGTGCTTTGCATATTTTTCAGACTAGGTGCAGGTCTGATTATTGACAGTTGTTTTTCTTCTAACACTTAATGTATAGACAGTTACTTACCAAGCATGTGCTTGTTTGTGGTCTCATCAGCTGGTAAAACAACGGTCAAAATTAGAGAACTGAGTATAAGGTCATAGGAGTAATAGGAAAGCAGTGAAGAACTGATTAAATAAACTAGAATTAAAAATGAATTTTGAGGTCTATTATTAATTATATAAAAGCTTGGAGCTTCCTGTGAATAGTGGATCTGCTAGAGAACTCATTAGCTTTCCTGCTCTAATGTTCCTCAAAGCTGGAGGTCACTTTTCTGCTTATCTTCAGTTTGTGCAAGATAAACTTCCTTGACACAGAAGGATTTTGTTTGCATAGTAATCCATAACTGGAAAGGTGTGCATTCAGCCTGGATGTAATACCAAAGAAACCCCAACACACACAAATTAGGAAAATGTGCTTGTTTCCACTTGCAGTGGGCCCCAGCTGTGCAGTCTGTGCTGTTCAAGCTGTCCTGCTTTATTCATGTTGTTAAAGTTTGGTTTGGACAAAGCACGCTCATAGTTTGGTCACACTCTTTATCCAGGGTACAAAAGATGAAACTTTTGTGTAGACACCTGGAGAGTCTTTCATTCCACAGCCGTAGCCCCAGGACGTCACTCCGTACACAACCCAGCTTTCCCCTGGACGTTCGCACATCAGCGGTCCTCCACTGTCCCCTTGGCAGCTATCGATGCGTTTCTGTTCCTGGATGTTTCCAGCACAGAGCATTCTTCCTGTGAATCTTCTTTTGTAGCGTTCTTCACATACCCTCTTGGGAAGCAAGGGGATGGCAGCTTGTTGTAATGTTCTTGAATAAGCCCTTCCTGAAAAGAAGACCCACCTTATTGCATTGTGGTGCTTTGTCTTGGAAACATAAATAGCATTTAAGCCAATTTATACTATCAATCCTTCTCAATGTTTTGTCATTAAATACATTAAAAAGAATATTAAATACTGAAATGAACCTGTGCACTAAATATAAGATTAAAATACTGAAAGCATATTGTAAATATGGAAAGCAGATTGTTTTTTTAAAATCTAAAAGTTTTGGATGTAGCTTCACACCTCATGTAATGTTCACTGGATCATTCCAAGGCTAGCATTTG